ATGCCTCCAGGCAACAGAGGCCAGGCTACCTCTCTGCAGATACCCTCACTGATTGACTTTGCAGCTTCATGGGTACTCAATGCTATTTAAGTTTGCTTATTGCAACATTCACGCATGTTTCTGGTTGCTTGAGAATTACTATCCACATAGGCCTAACTAGTACTATTTATTATTTATTTATTTACTTCAATGCTATTTAAGCTTGCTTATTGCAAGTATACCGCTATTCTCAGCCCTTAGGCGACTCATAGCGGTTAACAACAATCAAGAAAAGCAAAACAAGGCAAAACAATCAAAGTAAAAATTCAATGCGGCATCAACAAGGTACTTAAAAACAATTAACACAGAAACAGACTAAACAATTAAACAGTAGTAAACGTTCAAGTGGCGTCTCATAACTAGAATCATGATCCAAACTTGTCAACCATAGTTCCATTTCCTGAATTCATTGCACTGCCTATTCAAACGCCTGTTCAAATAACCAGGTTTTCACATTTCTCCAGAATACCATCAATGAGGGGGCCAATCTAATGTCCGTGGGAAGGGCGTTCCACAGCCGAGGGGCAACCACCGAGAAGGCCCTGTCTCTCATCCCCGCCAGCCGTGCCTGTGTTGCAGGCGGGGTTGAGAGCAGGACCTCCCCGGAAGATCTCAAAGTACTATACCCTATGCTAATACTACACATTGTCACTGCTACCTTGGCAGCCACCTCTCCACCAAAGTCAACATTGACACCGAAATTCAACACCGCCTGAGCTCTGCGAGTGCAGCATTCTTCCAAATGAAGCAAAGAGTGTTTGAGGACCGGGACATCCGTAGGGATACCAAGGTGCTTGTTTATAAAGCTATTGTCCTCCCAACCCTGCTATATGCCTGCGAAACGTGGACTGTCTACAGATGTCACATGCAACTCCTGAAACGACTCAATCAGCGCTGCCTCTGGAAAATCCTGCAAATCTCCTGGGAAGACAAGCGGACAAACATCGGCATGCTGGAAGAAGCAAAGACCACCAGCATTGAAGCGATGGTCCTTCATCATCAACTCCGCTGGACCAGCCATGTTGTCTGCATGCCTGACCACCATCTCCCAAAGCAGTTGCTCTACTCCAAACTCAAGAATGGAAAACAGAATGTTGAAGGACAGGAAATGAGATTTAAAGATGGGCTCAAAAACTCTGGCACAGACACTGAGTACTGGGAAGCCCTAGCCCTTGAGTGCTCCAGTTGGAGGTCAGCTGTGACCAGCACTGCTGTAGAGTTTGAAGAGACACAAATAGAGGGCGAAAGAGATAAATGTGCAAAGAGGAAGGCGCGTCAAGCCAACCGAGACTGTCTTCCACATGGAAACCAATGCCCTCACTGTGGGAGAACATGCGGGTCAAGAATAGGGCTCCATAGTCACCTATGGACCCACCCCTAGGAGGGCATCATCCTTGGACTACGAAGGATTGCATAAGTAAGTAATTGTCACTAGGTTCTTGTGGGATTTTTCGGGCTGTATGGCCATGTTCTAGAGGCATTTTCTCCTGACGTTTGGCCTGCATTTATGGCAAGCATCCTCAGAGGTAGTGAGGTAGTAAGTAATTGTCACTGTATTGATATATTAATCCTGAAATACAGTCATTAAAAGCCAATTAAGGCAAGCTTAACGTAACACAGTTTCACTGCATCATAAAAACTGATTTACTGTATTATAAAAATTGATTTTATTTTAATGATAAAAACCATGTATATATGCCAAAATATATACGGTCCTTCTTTAATAGGCACCCACTCGAAGCACGAGAGGAGACGCAGCCAGTTATGGAACAGGACTTTCCTTGTTAAGGTCAGCAATTGAACCAAGATCACTCTACAGCACAAAGGAATCCACGTTCCTGGACTTTGCAAGGACAGGAGAACCTGCAGAGAACAGTGAATCCCATTGAAAGGAGGACTTCCGACCCAAGAACACCACAGAGTCATATTTTGTCAGGTGCAGATAAATAATGCTGGTCCTGCAATATAGTGATGGAATTCCCTCTGTAACAAGATTCCCCTCAAATCTGGGACTTCAACACCCAGAATCCTCACTACTGGCCATACTAGAACACGAATACTATGGAACTTGATGTCTAAAACTATCTGGAAGGCCCAAACCGACGACCCAACTTCTTCTTTACTTTGGACCTCACTGAAAAGCTATTTGTCATAATGTGCATTTTCCAATGAAGGGCTCCCAGCTCAAGAATACCATCAGGTTGCATCGGATGACCCAAAAAATGCCAAGAGGAGACACATCAATGATAAACAAAGCTATGGATACTGGTCCCACTGAGGAAATAAATTCTCTCTGTGACAATGGTTCCCCGATGTTTTGGACTCAGAAACCTTCAGCACTAGTCGTACTATATTGGACATCTAGATATGGACCAAAAGCAGGCAATCATATCCTATGGGTTGTTGTGGCCATGGTCTAGAGGCATTCTCTCCTGACGTTTCGCCTGCATCGATGGCAAGGATCCTCAGAGGTAGTGAGGTCTGTTGGAACTAGGAAAATGGGTTTATTATATATCTGTGGAATCACCAGGGTGGGACAAAGGACTCTTGTCTGCTGGAGCTAGGTGTGAATGTTTCAACTGACCACCTTGATTAGCATATAATGGCCTGACAGTGCCTGGAGTAAACTTTTGTTGAGAGGTGATTAGAACAGGCAGGGACATCTAATTACCTCTCAACAAAAGTTTGCTCCAGGCACTGTCAGGCCATTATATGCTAATCAAGGTGGTCAGTTGACACATTCACACCTAGCTCCAGCAGACAAGAGTCCTTTGTCTCACCCTGGTCATTCCACAGATATATAAACCCAGGCGAAATGTCAGGAGAGAATGCCTCTAGAACATGGCCATATAGCCTGAAAAAACCCACAACAACCCATAGGAGATGATTGTCTGCTTTTGGTCCATATCTAGAGGTCCAATATAGTACGGCTGGCACTGAAGGTTTCTGAGGATGCTTGCCATAGATGCAGGCGAAACATCAGGAGAGAATGCCTCTAGACCATGGCCATATAGCCCGAAAAAACCTACAACAACCCAGTGATTCCAGCCTATGTTGCTATGAATTTTTGGGCTCTATGGCCATGTTCAAGCAGCATTCTCTCCTGATGTTTCGCCAGCATCTGTGGCTCAATGGCATCTTCAGAGGTTCTGTTGGTAGGGAAGCACATGAACCTGTGGAATGATGTCCAGGGCGGGAGAAAGAACCCTTGCCTGTTAAAGCAAGTGTGAATGTTGCAATAAGCAAGCTTGAATAGCATTGAGTAGCCATGAAGTTGCAAGTGAACACCACTCAGAAACGCGGGAACTCCAGACAGCAAACAATTAAGTGCCAGTGAACACTTCCCAAACTGAGGATGCCTTCAGGCAACAAAAGCTATATAAAATTCACATTGAACTGGATTATATTCATTTAGGCAATCCCTCATTGTCCACGGATGATGGTCCCTCATTGTCCACGGATGATGAAGCTGCAAAGTCAATCAGTGAGGGTATCTGCAGAGAGGTAGCCTGGCCTCTGTTGCCTGGAGACATCCTCTGTTTGGGAGGTGTTTACTGGCCCTTGATTGCTTATAGAATCATAGAATCATAGAGTTGGACCTCATGGGCCATCCAGTCCAACCCCATTCTGCCAAGAAGCAGGAATATTGCATCCAGCCTCTGTTTAAAAGCTTCCAAAGAAGGAGCCTCCACCACACTCTGGGGCAGAGAGTTCCACTGCTGAACAGCTCTCACAGTCAGGAAGTTCTTCCTCATGTTCAGGCGGAATCTCCTCTCCTGTAGTTTGAAGCCATTGTTCCACTGCGTCCTAGTCCCCAGGGAAGCAGAAAGGAAGCCTGCTCCCTCCTCCTCCCTGTGGCTTCCTCTCACATATTTATACATGGCTATCATATCTCCTCTCAGCCTTCCCTTCTTCAGCCTAAACATGCCCAGCTCTTTAAGCCGCTCCTCTTAGGGCGTGTTCTCCAGACCCTTGATCATTTTAGTCACCCTCCTCTGGACACATTGTCTGGAGTTCTTCTGTTTCTGAGTTCAATGTTCACTGTCTTGAGTCTGGTGTTTTTATCTGGTTACTGGTATTTAAAAGCACCAGAATCAATGCAGTAAATAATGAACACCACTCAGAAACAGGGGAACTCCAGACAGCTAACAATCAAGTGCCAGTTCACACCCCCCAAACAGGGGATGCCTCCAGGCAACAGTGGCCAGGCTACCTCTATGCAGATACCCTCAACGATTGACTTTGCAAATTTCATGGCCACTCCAATGCTAATTCAAATTAGCTAACTGCAACATTCACACTTGCTTTAACACAGTGCTTCTCAACCTGTGGGTCCCCAGGTGTTTTGGCCTACAACTCCCAGAAATCCCAGCTGTTTCTGGGAGTTGAAGGCCAAAACATCTGGAGACCCACAGGTTGAGAACCATTGCGAAAAGGGTTCTTTCTCCCACCCTGGACATCATTCCACAGATAGAGAGATAGGCAGACAGGCAGGCACACACACACATACACACACACACACACACATCACTTGTTTCACTGCCAACAGAACCCCTAAATATGCTATTAGTCACAGATGCAGGTGAAACGTCAGGAGAGAATGCTTCTGGACCATGGCCATACAGCTTGAACAAGTCATAGTAACTCGGTGATTCTGGCTATGAAAGCCTTCAGCAATCATCTCCTACTTTACAGATCCAACCGTAAGGCAAACGAGCAAGTCAGGAACATATTATGAGTGGGTATCTTTCCATCAATTTCCCACCAATTGGCTACTAGATATTCCAGAGCGTGGCACCCTTCTAGGCTGAGCCTTCTGGGATTTCATGTCCAAAACATCTGGAGGACCAGCAGTTGAGAATCGACTCCTCGGTTGAGAACCTGAGATGTGCTTCAGCTTTATCCAGAGACTCTTGGTGACACATTTCATCTCAAAGATACTACAAAACCCGTGAACTTACTGAGCTGTAGAGATAGCCCTCGGCATTCATGGCCACATAGAGGCCGGCCTTCACGCCCTGGATGGCCACCACACGGAGCCCCACCGGAATCAGATTGAAGAGGGCTGCGGGAGAGAAAAGGGGATGTCTGTGAATCAATGACACAGAAGGGAAGCATGGCGCAACAGCCTTGTTGCAGGCACAGCACCCATTTTGCAAAGTTGAGCTGAAGAATATGGCTGAAGAATCCCAGTCTTTAAAGAAACGTAGGCAATGAACCCACTACAGCAGGCATGGGCAAACTTGGGCCCTCTGGGTGTTGGACTTCAACTCCCACAATTCCTAACAGGAGGAAGGGGAGCAGGGAAGTGCTCAGGAATTGGAGGGAAAAGAAGAATCAGAGGATGAGGGTTTGAAATTGCCCACATTTCTAGAGAGACGAAAAGAAACGGAGCACAGACGGTGTTCAGCTAGAATATCTGCTAGAAACACCGAGCTAATTGGGAGACGCCCTAGCCCCTCCTGCATGGAGAATTCAGAACTATAAATCAGAATTCAGAACTATAAATCAGTATCAGGGTCAGCTTTCGACCCTGATACTGATGTTTTCATATCAATGGAATCTGTTTTGTGTCTGCTGCTAAGGACTGAGTTCATTGTGTGTTGTCTGATGGAAGACTGGTGTTTGTTTTGGGACTTTTTAAGAGACTTTAATTTGTGTCTGGATTAAGACTTCCTTGCTTTCTTTTTCAGTTTTCAATTGCATTTGCTATTCCTTTATGTTCGCTGAAGTAAAGCATTTTTCAACGTTGTCTAAAGGCTGTTTTTGAAGAGCAACTCAGGACAGATAAAGGGATACAAAGAACAGTAGAGTGGCCCCTCACTACTTTACGGCTCACTTTTCATGGACTTGCTATTTCGCGGTTTTTCAATATGGACTTAAAAGCATTTGTCTGTATGGAGAGGCTGGCTCTGTGGAGAAAGCTGGAGCCGACGATTATGTGAACAACACATTCAGAGAGGGTTATGTAGTGTTTAACTGTGTGGGGAGGGTTTATAAAGACTTCAAATGGTATATAATTACCAAAATAATGTATAAGCATTAAAATAAATATAGCATCCCTACTTTGCGATTTTCACTTTTCCCGGGTGGTCCTGGAACGTAACACCCGTGATAAGTGAGGGAACAAGGTGTACATATTTTTGTTCTTAATGAGAAACCGCACCGGAGTAGATGAAAGACACTAAACATGGAAATTTGTTTATGTTGGGGTTCAGCCCCCGTGCGAACCAGAACCTGAACCTGATTCTTTAATTATATTTCCTGATGCAACTGAACAGGCCTCTGAATCTGTATCTTTCCCTGATGGGGTTGAATCTGTTGATTATGAGGCCAGTGGCGGGGAAAGTGAAACTGAACTTCCTGATGAGAATGTTTTGGAATCAAGCAGTGATAGCTCTCCAGAGGGACTCACACCTGGGTTTGCTAATGAGCACCGAAGAGAACAGATTTGGAAAAACAGGAGTGAGTCGCAGTTTCTACGAAGGTCAAATAGATTACGGGAGAGGGAGGCTTCAAAGTCTGGAGGCGTTTCAAGAAATAGTTTCTTTAGTATAAGGGGCTGTCTAGCCAGATCAAGCAACGTTTTAGACTGAGGCAGTATCTTGGCAGATTTCCTGTGTTCCATGGCCTGCATTCCCAGAGGCATTTTCAAGTACAGTTAATGATGCTAACAGGTTCCTGGTTTCTGTATTGTGTCTTTTGGAATTTTGCTCAAGTTCAGAGTCTTTCTGATTGCTGTGTTTCTACTATGGCATTTTTACTTTGCATTTACCTTTCTTTTATAACCATTTTTCATCAATAAAGAGGATTGTTTTTTTCCCACAGTCCAGTGTGGTGGATTTAATCTTATGGTCTTGTTTCCTGAACTGGGATGCAACAGTTTAGAGGTAATGAGGAATGCTTTCTTTTGCAAAACAGGATAGGAGGTGTCTCTTTCTTCATACCAAATTGTGTTTTCTTCATGCAAATGAATGCTCTGCAGTAAAAAGTCCCACAATGCAACAACCCAAACTAAAAAGCCAGGAAGTGCCTGTGATTTCTCCCAGGAAAATCATCTGGGCTCCTGGGGCGGTGCGCATGGCAGGGTGTGAGAGAGAAGTGGAAGCGTCGCCTCTCCAGCTTTGGCACATCAACTATTTCCAAACCTCGGCGCTACAGCATCCTGCCCAAACCTTGCAATTAACAGGTCTATTTATAAGCGCTTCTGATGGAGGCAGAGGAAGGGGAAAATGGAGCACATCACCACCGATAATGAAGGCAAATGGCTGCCATCACTCATCCGCTGCCACCCATTTGTCTTGCGATGAAGGGCTGTCTCCCAGGCTGCTGAGGACGGGAAGGAGAAGAGACTCCACCAAAATGTGTATCTGTATTCCTCCACTTCTTGGAATCATAGAATTGGAAGAGACCATGAAAACATCCAGTCCAACCCCTTTCTGCAGGAAGATGCAATCAAAGCCCTCCCGACAGATGGCCACCCAAACCCAGATGAAAAACCTCCAAAGAAGGAGATTCCATCAGACTCTGAATGAGGAACAGACCCTGAATGACAGTGGTCTTTAAATGGCCAAAGGTCTGGAAGCCATGAATCCCTCTGAGGAGCAGCTGGGGGTGTTTAGCTTGGAGAAGAGAAGCGGAAGGGAGGGCCATGTGAAGGATGCTGGAAATATCAACCTTCTATAAGCCTCCTATACTCGTTCTTATTTATGTATACAATTCAGATTGCTTACTCTGTTGTATATGTGTGTATTGGTATGCAGTTTTCCTTAACTCTATGTTGTGGGAAGGACTACAGGCCACGTGATCAGAACTGGGACTATTCAGGACTCAGACTCCATTTTAGAAACAGTATGCTTTTAGAAGTCATTCGAAACTGGGACTATTCAGGACTCAGACTCCATTTTAGAAACAGTATGCTTTTAGAAGTCATTCGAAACTGGGACTATTCAGGACTCAGACTCCATTTTAGAAACAGTATGCTTTTAGAAGTCATTCGAAACTGGGACTATTCAGGACTCAGACTCCATTTTAGAAACAGTATGCTTTTAGAAGTCATTCGAAACTGGGACTATTCAGGACTCAGACTCCATTTTAGAAACAGTATGCTTTTAGAAGTCATTCGAAACTGGGACTATTCAGGACTCAGACTCCATTTTAGAAACAGTATGCTTTTAGAAGTCATTCGAAACTGGGACTATTCAGGACTCAGACTCCATTTTAGAAACAGTATGCTTTTAGAAGTCATTCGAAACTGGGACTATTCAGGACTCAGACTCCATTTTAGAAACAGTATGCTTTTAGAAGTCATTCAAAACAGAATGCTTTAGAGCAGTGGTTCTCAACTTGTGGGTCTCCAGATGTTTTGGCCTTCAATTCCCAGAAATCCTAACAGCAAATACTATGTTCTTGTGGGTTTTTTCGGGCTATAGAGCCATGTTCTAGAGGCATTTCTCCTGACATTTCGCCTGCATCTATGGCAAGCATCCTCAGAGGTTGTGAGGTCAACTGGTAAACTGGTTGGGATTTCTGGGAGTTATAGGTCAAAACACCTGGGGATCCACAGGTTGAGAACCACTGCTTTAGAGACTCTATTAGACTCTCAGACCAGAGAGGTGCTTTGGACTATGGACTGTTGAGTCTAAGAAAGATGCCCTGTGTTACCTGCACAGAGAAACTATTTCAAATCCTATTTGTAACTGGATTGATAAGCAATCTACCTGTATGCTGAACACATGAAGTTTGTGAGTAAACCAACAATGTTATTTTAAGGAAGACTACTTTATTTTTGGTCTCTTGAGAACATGATTTAAACCAAGGTATTTTAAAGGAAGTGAGTATCATGTTCTGCTGTTGTTGGTGGTTGGTGGTGGTAGGTCTAGCAGTTGGTGATGGAAGGGTTAATGTAAGTCTTAGTTCCAAAGGGTTTAGTAATCTGTAAGTAAGAGTTCATGGGTGAAAGCCATTAAGGGTGGAGGTATGCAAGAGATGGGTTGCAGCTGGGTGTTTCTGGATATAAGGAGTTAGCCTTGGGACTGATCATCGCGAGAAAAGTATTTGTCTTATTTTGGTGGTAGATGCTGCTGGTTTCCCCCCAGGTTTGTGGATTTTCAGTATCCTGACCTGTCTCTTGCACCCTCGGAACCTTGAATCTTTGGACTGGCTTTGGACTACTGTATAGACTCTTGATCCCTGGACTTTGCTCATTTAACTCTTGGCATTTGACCACTGGACTGGACCTTTTGACTACGGTGTTATCTTGAACCTGCAACAGCGTTTGCTGTCAGTTTTGTTTTATATTCTGTGGCTGAGTGCTATGTTTTGGATTATTAAAACAGCCAGAAAGTAAGGTGCTGCTTTAATTAAATCGCTTAACACAAACTGGGAGTTTGTTTGGTTAATCTCTGCCTGAATGAGGCAGAGCCCTGGCAATGTCATCCTGGTAAACAGTGAGGATGTTTTTGTGCAAATGAAAATAACATTCCTGAAACTTGGCTGTTTTTTGTGCATTGGAATATCTTTGTTCCTGACAGTTCAAAGAGCTATCTAGGGGCCTGTCCAGACAGTACCTTTATCTCAGGAGCTTCTGCAGCAAACAGGAGTGTGGCCTGACGCCATTCCCTGTAAACCCAGAAGCAATTGCTACACAAGGCAAAAAAACATGAGATTTCCAGGTTCAGGAATATTGAGGTTTTGAGCCAAATATCCGGATCTTCACATATCCCTGCAATTGGAAATCACTGGATTTTTAAATCTGGGTTTGTTCCTAGATTTTAGATGCTTATTCCTGATTGGTTGGTTCCTAAAAAGAAGGTGACACTTGAGTAGGAGGCAAAAACTTTTTGTGCCAGAAACTTTATGAAATGTGTGGAGAGCACAGTTTCTCTGGCCTGCACATAGAATGGAACTTTTGCAGTGATCCACATAATCGAATCTCCACATATACACATCTCACAGTTTTTTTTAAAAAAAAAAATCTGCTAGTTTCTGGCAGAAATCCTGCAGTGGTCATCTTGGGAGCCTCTAAATCTTGGAAGAAAGCATCAAGTATGAACAATGAAGGCA